TTATATTATATATATTAATTTTATGTAAATAAATGATAGTTTTTATAGTTATTTATAAGGGTCATCACTTTGCTTTTCTGAATTTTATTTGCTCAGCATTTTTAAACGACTTCAAAAAAAGGAGTTTCTCAGTTTGACCCATATGTTTATACATTGTATGTATGTATGTTTGTCCGCGATTATTTCGCGTTTGGTTGAACCGATTTTGATGCGGTTTTCAGAAGAGTATTTGTTACATTCTGGAGGTTTTGGTATATAACAAATGGATATTCCGTGACGTCGAGCACCGTCCGCATGGATCCATTATTAAGCGATAATTTAATTCAACTTGACCGATGTTGTTGATGCGGTTTAATAGTTCTTTGAAATCAACATTTTCTTTTTATCTAAAATTTAATTTCTCTTAATTAATATGAAACCATCCTTGAAAAATAATATATTTGATTAAAAAATAATTATAAAGACCAATTCACAATGGTCGAAGATAACGCGTAATACGGGTATGTGTACCTACATATAAATCAAAAACACAGTTAAATTGGGAACCTCCTTAGGTTTTTTTGAAGTCGTCTAAAAAGAGTTATTCATACCAGTAATTGTTAATCGTTTTTTAATTTATATTTTCTACAATTATTTCGTTAATTGAAAGCATTATTATGTGTTTCTAAATCACTGAGATATTTTATTGTGTTTCATTTTTTATGTGAAACAATTTATTAAATGTTTAAAATGAAATATTTAAAATATAAAATTCCGAATACACGTTCTTCTGAGAATATACGTTATTAAATAAAATTTCAGTATGCATTTATTGGTATTGAGTATTAATTTGTTACAGACTATGGATAATAGTTGTCAACTAATATTGCAAGAATGACAGCTGTTATTCCACAACCAAAAGGTTACGAAATTTTTTGCGATGAATTCGTATTTTTGGTGAGGCGGATAGTACGTAGTGTGTTCATACAAATTTCCTAAAAAGCAATATTGTATTTAAATTATATTATGTAATAATGCAAGACGAGACAAATTTTAACCCTGCTAGGGTAAGATAACCCTTCAAGAAAAGAGTCTACTCCTTTTTAAAAGGCCGGCAACGCATCTGCAATTCCCCTGGTTCCCCTGGTGTTGCAGTTGTTCATGGGCGACGATAGTCACTTACCATCAGGTGAGCCGCATGCTCGTTTGTCCCCTTTCCTATAAAAAAATTAGTGTTCTGTGTGGTTTTGACTGTGTTATTTTATTTAAAGAACATACTTTTATGTCTATGGATTCTTTTCAGTTAATTTTTATAAACTACATTTATTATATCACTGATTAAAAATGACAAAAAGATATCTGCGAAGTTGCAGAAAATGAATCAAAATCAGAATTAGAAGAACCTCATCTTGAAAAAGGTAGGTTAAGAAAATAACATTGTGAGCCTCTTTGTTGAGCGTACTGTATAAATGACATGTGTTGAGCTTAAGCACCTTATTGTTGTCAGGTTTATAGATCCCCATGTTCAAGTTATGATACCTTTGAAAAAATTATGTAAGAGGTTTTATTAAAGCTTAATAAACAGAATAAATCTCTTGTAGTATGTGGAGACTTTAATATCAATCTTCTGGAAACTTCTTCCATTGGTATTAAATTTTGCTCTTTGTTCAAATCCTATAATCTTGACAATTTATTCTTTGAAGCTACACGTACTGTAGGGTGTAGTGAAACTTGTATTGTTAATATTTTTACAGGTGTTTTACCAATCAACAATCAATAATTCAAAAACTTAGTTCAGATCACTGTGGACAACTGGTTTCGTTACATTATATGCACAAAAAACAGGTACTCGAGAAAATTGTGTTTGTTCATATTAATGCAAAACGCCTGGAGAGATTTAGAAGTATTATGGTAAAAAACCTTCCATCGCTTTCTTATAAGAACAATGTAGACTATTTATATGGAAAATTATTTACCTTCATAAGCAATGAATTTAATAAAACATTTACTTCTAAAACATTCTCCAGAAACAGTCGCAAGGCATTTAATGAGTGGGCGACAGTAGGAATTCATAAAAACAGACGAAGGTTATATGACCTATACCATGAAAGATCATATAATCTTTCCGATGCTTTAAAAGAATATGTAAAAAATTACTCTAAAATGTTTAAAAGAGTTTGCTCCACAGTCAAATCGTTACATATTAGTAACAAAATTAAGACGGCTAAGAACAAAATTAAAATGACGTGGAGTATTATTAACAGCGAAACCGGTAAAAAGAAACCTCGTAACTCAAACTATCAATTAAAAATTAATAATGAATTGACTAAATCAAATCAAGAAGTTGCAGCGGTGTTTGAGAAATATTTCACTGATGTTCCTTTGTTGACAACAGAGAAATTGAATACTTCTCCAACTGTCGCCAAGTCATTACTCAAACAGAATGTTAATACCTGTTTAAAAGAATTTAGATTTGAAAAAGTATTACCGCATAATATTGTAAAATACTTCAAAACCATTGATGTAAAGAAAACCGCAGATTTGTGGGGGATTTCCGTTACAGTTATTGCGTCCATTATGGATTTAATTGCACCTCATCTTGCTATTATTTTTAATACTTGTATCGATTCCGGTGTGTTTTACCTTTATTTAAATCTAGTAGTACATTATAGACCTCTTTCTGTACTACGAACTCTCAGTTTTTAACAGTGGTAGAGCCACGCGGCAGCTTTTGCTGTCGCACGGATGGGCCGGCTCGAACCGGGGTGGTACCACGACCTCACAGAAAACCAGCGTGAAGTAGAGGTTTACCTCTGCGTTTCGCTTGGTGAGTGCAGGTGGCCGGAGGCCCTTTTTACTGGAAATGAGGCATTCCATCTTAGTCCTCACGGGTGACAACGCATCTACATTTTGATTTGTAATAGAGGATAGATGTAAATGTCTATGGGCCGCAGCAACCACTTACCATCAGGTGGACTGTGTGCTCGTTTGTCATCCTTATCCTATAAAAAAAAAAAAAAAAAAAAAAAAAAAAAAAAAAAAAAAAAAAAAAAAAAAAGTAAAATTTTTGAAAAAATAATTTTGGATCAATTGTTAATTTTTTTTAATACAAATAAGTTACTTCATAAAAACCAATTTGGTTTTACAAGGGGTCGCTCGACGTCGGTGTTGAGCTTATGAAATATATTTTTAATACCTGGGAGAATTCACAAGATGCCTTAGGTATCTTCTGTGACCTTTTCAAGGCTTTCGATTGTGTTCATCGTGAAACATTAATCAGGAAACTACAACATTACGGTGTAAAAAATTAGGCGCTTAGATTTTACTTCACATTTAAGTAACAGAACTCAAAAAGTCGTGATAAATTGTAAAGGTTCCTCCGGGTCGGTAGTATCTATGGGCGTTCCTCAGGGCTCGATTCTTGACCCATTACTGTTCTTAATCTATATTAATGGCTTACCTTATCTTGTAGGGGACAATTACGGTATAATAATAATTAGGCGTAGGGAATTGACGACCCCATCGCCCGCTGACGTAACAGTTAAGTGACAAAACTGCTATGTCAGCGCAGTCAGTCAGCGCCTTGCCAAGAGGTGTGAGCGCCGTGCCTCGGCAGAACTGAGGGTGCAAAGGCTCGTTTGTGCTTACGGCCGCACCATGAAACGGTGCCGGGCCTGGGCGTTTCCCGTTAATTGACGCCCCTTTAATGGGTGATGGATAAAAGAAGAGTGCGCAAAGGGCCGCTGCCTGGGGGTCGCCAGGACGCGTCTGGAGCTGGCGCTGGACGCGACAGCATACGGGCCGCAAGCCGAGCGCGGGGGGCTGCAAGACCACCTAGCAGCCGTCCGCATCCATCATCCCCACCAGAGGGCTTGATGTCGGCCGAGTCTTCTCGGACTCAGCAAGCGGCATCCGCCGCTGGTGGAGCACGTCGCATGCGTTGGACGGAAATAATGAACAAAATCGCATTGCGAGCGTACTTTAGGGCGAAAGGGGAAAAAACTGGAATGTTGGCGTATCGGGCTCGGATGCATTGCTTTTTCGCAGAGCTGGAGCCATCGGTTCATGTAACGGAGCAAAACCTGGCAGACCGAGTTCGGTATATCCTGCGCTCCAACATATTTGGTGACGCCGAACTCGAACGACTACGACGTGAGGCTGTTCCCTCATCGGATGAAAATGCTGCAGCTGGTAATGTGGCGCTACTAATTGCAGAGCAACCCGCACACGTGGATGCCGCAGTGGATATTCCAGTTGTGGTTCATTCAGACGATGATGAAATAGTCTCCCACAAAGTAGAGCAAATGAGGAGTATATTGGAAGAGGCTATTTTGGAAACGCGCAGTACGCCTCTCGAAAATCGACCACGACTTCCCCGCCTACCCCTATGCAAGCGGAATCGGGCTGTCGTGAGGGCTCTCAACCCAATGCTGGTGACCTATTTGGAAGCCAGCCGGGACCTTTGCGATACGGACTCAATTCTTTTTGGCGCGGCACTGGCAGTTTGCAGTATTATTGGCGCCGAACTTCCCACGGCTGGACGCACTACTAGACTCAGTAGCGCCATCCCAGCCTGGAGAAAAAGAATTGAGGACCGTATCTCAAAGGCAAGAGCCCTAATCGGCAGACTGACAAGCTTCAAGTCGGGTAATAATAGACCGAGAATTGTGCGCACCGTCAGGATGGCGTTTGCTGGGACAAATATAAGTTTGTCCCAGCCGGATATTACGCAAAAGCTGACGGAGCGCATAGACGACCTGAAGCAGAGAATCGCTGCTTGGGGAAAGCGGATTCGGCGATATACCGAGAGGTCGACACGGTTCAACCAGAATCGTCTCTTCCAGAGTGATCAGAAGAGGCTCTATAAATCATTGGAGCGACCAATGGTACGTGGAACAGGCCAAGCACCGAATCAGGCCGACACTGTCGCATTCTGGCGCGGCCTGTAGTCAGAGCCCGTAAACCACAGCGAGGGCCCTTGGACGGAAGTTGTGGTGAGTCAGTGTGCGAATCTTACGCCCATGGACCCCGTCGTTATAACGCCGGACGATGTAGCTGAGGCGGTCCGAAGGGCCCCGAACTGGAAAAGTCCGGGGCTCGACGGGCTGCATCACTACTGGCTGAAGGGGTTCGTGGTGTGTCACGCTGTGCTCGCCCGACAATTTCAAGAGGCTCTCGACCAAAAGTCGCTCCCGAGCCTCTTCACTACTGGGATCACTCATTTGGTTTCTAAAGACCGGGATACCATAGACCCGAGCAAATACCGCCCCATCACGTGTCTACCCACGATATATAAGATACTAACATCCATTTTGAGCGCGAGAATCACTCTTCACCTGAACTCAAATCAGGTGATGTCGCGCGCTCAAAATGGATGTCTGGGAGGTGGTCGTGGAACCAAGGAACCACTCCTCATTGACGCGGTCATTGGCAAAGTGGTTAAACGCAACCGTCGGAACCTATCCGCCGCCTGGATAGACTACGAAAAGGCATTCGACTCGGTGCCTCATACATGGCTGAAGAGGGTCCTCGAGCTGTACAAGGTTGACTGTACAGTTAGAGACTTCCTCGGGCAGTGTATGGGGCAGTGGAGTACGATCCTTTGTCATCTAGGCAAGCGGATGACGGCTGCGGAGAACCACATAAGGATAAGAAGGGGTATCTTCCAGGGCGATTGTCTGAGTCCAATCTGGTTCTGCCTCTCTCTGAACCCTCTCAGTACCTTACTGGAGGGTTCCGGGAGGGGATTTCAGCTTCGGAAAGGAGGTACAAAAGTGACCCACCTTTTCTATATGGATGATCTCAAATTATTCGCCTCCAGTCGCTCCCATCTTATGGAATTGCTGAACATCACTTGTGATTTTAGCAGTTCCATTAGAATGGAGCTGGGGACGGATAAGTGTGCGGTCCTCCATGTCGAAAGGGGTAGGGTTGCTAACTCTGAGGGTATAGACTTATCTATGCCCATCAACATAAAATCCCTATCCGAGGCTGAAACATACCGATACCTGGGTATGTCACAGAACATAGGTATCGATGAGGCGGACATGAAACAGTCAGTTGGCGATGTGTTTTATGCACGCTTGACCAAAGTGCTCAACAGTCTTTTGTCGGGTGTGAATAAGACACACGCATATAACGGTTGGGTCATGCCTGTCCTCATATATACCTTCGGCATACTCAGGTGGTCTCAGACCGAACTGAACGCTTTGGATAGAAAAGTCCGCACTGTTATGACGTCTCACAGGATGCATCACCCGAGATCGTCAGTAATGAGGCTGTACTTGCCACGGAAACATGGTGGGCGCGGCTTTTTGAGCGCTCTCACCATGCATAATCGTGAAGTGTGCAGCCTCCGTAACTACTTTCTGGTGAGATCGGGTGATCCATTCTATAGGGACGTCATTTCGTGTGATAAAGGGCTCACCCCTCTATCCTTAGCCAACGAGCAATGGCAAGACCCAGCAGTACAGTGCATTTCCGACCGGGAGACCGTATGGAAGGAGAAGGAGCTCCACGGGAGGTTCTACAAGGCTCTACATGAGCCTTTCGTAGACACAGTCGCCTCCCTTCACTGGCTACGTTTCGGTGACCTCTTTGGGGAAACCGAGGGTTTTGTCTGTGCGATACAGGATCAGGTTATTAAGACCAACAATTATCGGAGATACATCCTAAAGGATGGCGCCGTCGACATCTGTCGAGCTTGTCGCCATCCCGGTGAGTCACTTAGGAATGTCATCTCCGGTTGTTCGGCGCTTTCTAACTCTGAGTATTTGCACAGACACAATCTAGTAGCCAGGATTCTACTCCAGGAGCTCACTATGAAATACGGCCTCGTGGATCGGAAACTGTCGTATTATAAGTACTTGCCGGAAGCCGTGCTCGAAAATGACCGCGCCAGGCTCTACTGGGACCGGGCCATCATCACAGACAGGACTATTCTTGCGAATAAGCCTGATATTGTGCTGATGGACCGGGCACAGTCAAGGATCTTTTTGGTCGACATTACCATTCCTTATGACGAGAACCTCGTGAAAGCCGAAACAGATAAGGTGACAAAATATCTGGACCTGGCTCACGAGGTTACCGGCATGTGGGGTGGTCTGCCGACCGAAATTATTCCTGTGGTCGTTTCTGCAAACGGGTTAATCCCAGTCAGCTTCCCGAGTCATCTGAGGTGACTGGGACTCCGTGACGGACCGCTCCAGGCTCAAATGCAGAAGGCGGTGCTCCTCGATACCGCCCGCATCGTCCGCCGGTTTCTTTCCCTTTCTCCCTAACCCTCGGCCGTCTGGTCTCCCCTGCCGAGGGCTTCCATCTGGTTGGGTTTTTATATATTTATGTATTTTTTATGTATTTATTTTATTTTATTGATATTTATGTATGTTTACCATTTTCATTTACAATTATATATTTATACTGCCCAACCAGATGAGAAAACTTTATAGATACCCCAAAATAATAATTTTATTTCAGACCATGGTCCATATATTGTTAGTAATGTCGTTAGTAACAATATTGACTTAAAACTATGTTAGTATTGTAAGTAATTACATATTATTTTAATCCTATGACTATGCCCACCCAGTGATTCTGTATGGGACAGTCATATCTTAGAGATATCGCTCTCAGGATGCTGTTATTACTGTTTTCTAAGCGTTGCAAGAGTGAGGCTGTCTTCTTCCGAATGATCGCTGGAAAAGTGTCATTACGCGCTTGCGCAAACATACCTGACGCACTGCAATGCCACGGCAGCCGCAACAACACAAGCGTTATTATACGGTACGCGCAGAGCATTGTAAGCTCGACACGTATATGTCACCCACAGGGCACTAGAGTAAAATGATTGACAAAACGCTTTGAAAAGCGTTATTTTAATATAGTATTGTTTGCTGACGATACCTCTTTAATTTTCAAACACAAACGGCAGTTAATTAATTATGACGATGTAAATAATGTTCTATCGAAATTAGTACATTGGTTTAATGCCAACAATTTGCTCTTAAACGGCAATAAGACAAAATGTATTAAATTTACAATACCTAATGCAAAACATTCGAAAACCAATGTGCTCTTAAATGGGAAGGAGTTGAGTCTTGTGGATACCACTGTTTTTCTTGATATTACTATTGACGCGAAACTTTAATGGGGCTCCCATATATCTAAATTAGCAAGCAGACTTAGTTCTGCAGCATATGCTGTAAGAAAGATTAGAAATCCCACAGATGTTCAGACAGCTAGATTAGTGTATTTTAGTTACTTTCATAGCGAAATGTTTTATGGGATTTTGCTATGGGGTAATGCGACTGATATTGAAGCTATATTTGTTTTGCAAAAGAGAGCCGTACGGGCGATTTATAACCTAAATTGTGAAGAGTCCCTCATACAAAAATTTAAAGAAATAAACATATTAACTTTGGCATCGCAATATATTTATGAAAATGTAATGTATGTACATAAAAACATAAATAGCTTTAATAAGAATAAGGATGTTCATACCTTAAACACTAGGAACAAACATAAGCTTGTAATGCCAGTTACTAGACTCCACAGAATTAGTAACTCATTTATGGGGCAATGTATACGTTTTTACAACAAAATCCCAGAACATGTTCAAAGTTTGTCAATAATCAAGTTTAAAAGTTTTATTAAAGAAAAACTGTACAAAAAGGGTTATTATAATATCAAGGAATACATGAATGAAAATAACCCCTGGGAATAAGGTGATCGCCACCATGCTGGTTCTATGAAAATACATTTAAAATTGTATAAACAAAATTATTGTTAAGTGAAATTATGCTTAAAAAAAGTCCCGCTGGGGTTTCTTGCTAGTTCTTCCCAGGACAGAGGTATTTTCGGAACCAGTGGTAAATAAAAAATGACTTTCAATAAGTATTATGTAATAATCTATATTGAACGTTAGAATAAAATCATTCCATTCTGTTCTATTCTAACGTTTTACAAACGAAATTGTTTCAGTTTCATTCCATTTCAGAAATACTCTAATTTTAATCACTTTGGCCTTTCTTTTAATATTTTAATTGGGTAGTTAACGCTGCCATTAATAATTAACTGTATCGTATATAAATTGATTTTGAAGTTAAGCTAAGGCTAAAGGAAATTCGAAATAAAATGAGAAATATCCAATTTGGCCTAAAGATTTTAATAAAAATCATTGGTTTAGCACAGTTTCTATAAAGCATACACGAAAAATTGAAACATTTGCCATGAAGAAATACAAAATTTAACGTTTGTAAACACCATACTTGTAGGCCTTATTTTACTATGGTAGGATAATAAGGCCTTCTGACTACGACATTAGCTTAATAATAAAAGCGTACGATTTATTCGCATTTATAGCATTTTGAAAGTGATATCAAATACATTATAAAACAAAGAAAAACTACATAAGAAGAAGGAGTATAATAAGGCTAATGGTGACTTAGTAGGCCTTAATAACCGCCGATCAAGTAAGTATAGAAACCAAATAAAAAAAATTAGACCACGATACGTTATTCAAATCTTCAAGATCAACAAAGCGTTTATTCATAAATGTAAAGAGTACGATTTTAGATAGCTAAGTGTAATATTACAAAACATATCTACGATTTGTTTGGACTGATTTTATTATTGGTGTAGTGTGGTCGTATCAGGATAGATAATGCAACTTTGGTGGCAGGACGCGTTCAATGAAAATAAAAAAGCGGTTATTATAAATACGATTTTTGTCACTTAGGCATTATTAGCCGACAGGCCTTATTACCCACAGCTACCTTAATAATCTTAAAGTTTGATTTACTTTCCATTTTGTTAGTTTAATGAGATATTTACTATACAAGTAATATTATAAATGCGAAAGTAACTCTGTTGTGTCACGTTTTCATGCCGGAACCGCTGAACAAATTTTGATGAATTTTAGTTTAGAGATAGATGGAATGTTGGAGAAGGACATAGCTATACTTTGAAGAGGGTGAAATAGGCGATAAAAGTTCGTTTAATGAACCAATCATTTCTCGAGTTAGGGGTATAAAAATTCATTCATCATATCTTTAACATACCTATTACGATAATTTTTGATTTTGAAATTGTGACGTCATAACTATAGTAGTGGTCACTTAGTGGTCTAAATTCGATTTATTAAATTTTTAGGTTTGTATACTAAACAAGCGGTATTTCATTTTTAATTATAAACGCTTTTATGCCCTGATAGTACACACCACACTATTAAAAAAGGAACATTTGAAATCATACATAATTCACAGCTCATTTTGTCATTGTCAGTAATTATTTATTGGCAATATTAGTACTATTATTTATTCTGCGGCAATATTTAATACTTTTTTGCGACAATCTCTACTCTGTGCAACTGTTTGACCACAGACTATTAAGTGTTTGACCATGGCCTTAGAGGAATAGCATAGATTTATTTTTATAGAATAAGGGTGACAAACGAGATCAAAATCCACCTGATGGTAAGTGTTGGCTGTGGCCCATAGACATCTACATCTATCATCGGTGACGAACCAAAATGCAGATGCGTTGTCACCCGTGAGGAAGTAAGATGGAATGCCTCGTTTCCAGTAAAAAGGATCTCCGGTACTCTACACTCACAAACTCACAATACGAAACACAGCAGCATTGAGCCGCTATTTTACGCTGGTATTCTGTGGGAGTGTGATGCCTCCCCGGTCGAGCCGACCCATTCGTGCTACAACTATACTACTAATATAGCTGCAGCATGGCTCCACCACGTAAAAAATACATATAGTATGAACGTAAACAATGTGTGCTTTATTTTATTCAATTTAATGTATTTGTTGTAAATATTAGGTACATCTAAATTTAATCTTTTTGCACTCCTACATATAAACCGCAATAACTTTGTACTAATGAGGGCGTTCACGACTTTTTCTGCCACCAGGGCGGCGCCACTTAAAAGAGAGGTATAATATTTGACAGATTTCATGGCGGGCTTAGCGGGGAAGATTTGTTTGAAAATATAAAAATATAAAGATTAATGTTTCTTTCTGTACTATTAGTTATATTTTATAATAATTAGATTAAAAATAAATCAACTGTACAACAGATATTCAAAAATGTAGAGAAATAAAAAAAAAGTTATAAATGTGCAAAAAATTAAAGAGCAAACCACTGAGACATAGTTCTGTGTATTAATATAATACTCTAGAAACTGATAAACTTTTATTACAAACTAACTTCTCAATTAAATGACATTGCGTAAGAAAAAACTTTACCTCAGTGTTAACTAGCGACATCCGGTGAGCAGAAAATTATTAGCCCTCATTATGAATAGGAATAAAGGAATTTAATATTGAGAATATATATTATCAGTATAAAAAATAAATAAATTCTATTTTATAAATGTCTGTTTTGTCTGTGTACTCGAAAATGTTTCAATTTAATTGACTAGTGTCAATTACCCAGTTAACATGTCTGACATTTCAATTAATTTATACATTTTTTTTTACGTGGTAGAGCCATGCTGCAGCTATATTATGGTTGTAGCACGAATGGGTCGGTTCGAACGGGGAAGGACCACGCTCTCACAGAAACCCAACGTAAAATAGCAGCTTAACGCTGCTGTGTTTCGTATGGTGAGTGTAGAGAACCGGAGACCCTTTTTACTGGATACGAGGCATTCCATCTTAGTCCTCACGGGTGACAACGCATCTGCATCTTGATTCTTTATTGAGGATAGATGTAGATGTCTATGGGTCACAGTAACCACTTACCATCAGGTGGACTGTGTGCTCGTTTGTCACCCGATCCTATAAAAAAGAATTTACGCATTGTATGTGCAGACTAAATTGATTCCTTTTTAAGGCAACCTTAAATAAAAAGTAAACTCAATAGGATAAAGTAACGCTTCTATGACTTCTATCACCATTATTTCGAATATTTCCACTGACACCGACAATAGACCGCAAAAGATCGATTGCTTTTAAAATTAAACCAAAAACTGACAACGTAACAAATAAATTGAATTGAAAATCCCGTCCAAGCAAACCTACAGAGGATTGCGAGCGATTAGAGAAAGCTACTCGGTTGTTAAATACAATAGGGTAGTCCTCAGAGAGGACACTTGGTCCCTCCGGACGGTTTAATCCCGGCCCACATGAACTCCCGGGACGGATTACGAATAAAACATATGACCGGGAAGCTCAAGAAACTGGTTGTGTGTTAGGTAACTAATGTTTTTGGTTTAAATAGATTCAACCATCAAACTAAAAAAACTGTACCCTAGAAATAATTTTAACTATAGCAATAATATCTCTATAATACATGAAACAATTTATTTAAGAAATAATTAAACTGGGTTAGGCATTGCAATGGATAAGTGTTCGACTGCGACACTACGAGCCGTGGGTTCGAATCCCGCAGTGGTTTGTATGGCGTGCAATCATCTATAATCGTTCCGAGTCTGGATGTTTGTCCATGTGTATAAAATACACGGAAAATCGTAATATAAGGTTAACGTTTTTAACCAAAAAAAAAATGAGAGCTTGTATGTCACCTTAATATAAAAAAAAATTCTTTGTTCCCTTTTTACCGGTTACAAATACTGAAGTATTTCTGACGAGACATTCCAGATTTATCAACAAATATAGGTAAACAAAATAAATATAAATAAAAATAAAATTCATCAAAACGTTTATGGATATTAATAGACACAAATACAATTTAAGTTTTGAAGCGAATCATCAAATTTTAATATCTTTCTTTTTTAATGTTCAAAAACAATATCTCTTTGTTTTTATGATATGATGATTTTAGGGTAATTTTAAATTTAGGGCAATTTTAAGGCCTTTCTATATAAAAGGGCTATCTGCACGTGTTCCCAGGTGTAATCTGTTGAGTTTTATATTGTAAAAGGAAAATCCGTCCTTTTTTCCCTTGTCAGACATGTATTACTTTGTGACAAGAATGTCACTAGTGACTAGGGTTACCAACCGTATGTAGGTACTATAATATCCATATAATATCTATAATACGTAGAGTGGCCATAAGTTTTTTAACACATAAAAATGCATTTTTTAAAGTAGCAACTTTATAATATCGGATCAACTAAGTAAGGAAAACGGAGCGCTGCGTACATTCATGTGGTGCAAAAACCGAGTCAAAACCATGCTCGCATTCACGTACACATGTATCTAAAATCATTTGCAACCAACGACATGGTTTTAGTTACATATGTGTGCGTCCAGTAGACAGCTTATACGGACTGAAAAACGAAGAAAGAAGAAAGATGTAAGCGTGAGTGCGTGTCTAGAAATTGTTCAGTTTTTACTTCACTTGAAATGTGCACAGCGCTCTGTCTATCTTTGTTTCGTACGAGGTTATGTTAACAAAACTTATGTCACTTATGTGTAGATATTTATGGAAGGCGATAAATGTATATTTTTTTATTGAAAGTGACCGGCTTTGGCTCCGATACATGTCTGTAATCTCTCTGATCACCAAACTGTGGATTTACGCACGGTCTTTCTTTTATAAAACTGAAGTGACACCTAACTTACCCACCTGATGGTAAGTGGCTACTGCAATCCATGGACAACTGCAGACAATCTTAAAGAAAGAAAGTTACAGTTGCGTTGTTACCTCTGAGGACTAAGATGGAATGTCTCACAGCCTGTAATTCAACTAGCTCTCTATATCCTTCATATCGGCACACAGAAGTGCAGGCACCTCTGCTTAGGGGTAAGAGGGTGGTATCAGACCAGACCAGACCAGACCAGACGGCCTCTTAGGCAAAAAGGAGTCCTATGCGCCACCACCTTGATACTTCACGAGGAATTTAGTTACTGCTAGCTCTAAATATTTCTTGAGAAACTCAATGTCGGGTTAACTTTTAAGCAAGCCGCAGTCTCTGATTCAGGTGCAGCGTGAAGGGGCCCGCAAGGGCCGACGCCTGCCGGGGCTGCGGGCTGTTCGAAAGAGATACCGCGGCTCCGGAACGTAAGGGCACTGAAGGAACACGGATGGTT